ATTATATATATATATATTTAATTACCTGTATAATTAATTTATCTTTTATGTTTATTCTTTGCAGTTGTTGCAGCAAGGAGACTATATTTATACATCTATATAACAATAAAAGGAGACAAATAATATAAATAAATAAATAAATAAATAAATTAATTAATTAATTAATTAATTAATTAATTAAATAAATATGAATATATATACAGCAAAGACAAGGAGACAGGAGACACTTAGAGGGAGGAGGAGACAGGAGGAGACAAAAAGGAGACAGGAGGAAACAAAAGGAGACAAAAAGGAGACAAAAAGGAGACAAAAAGGAGACAAAAAGGAGACAGCAGCAAGAGCAGCAAGGCCCCTGATATCGCCCCCTTAGGGCCTCTCTGTTTGCTGCTGCTCAAGACAGCAGCAGCAGCAGCAGATAGCAGCAGCATGAGCTTACCCTAAATGCTGCAGCTGCTGCTGCAGCAAAGACTCAAGAAGGCGATCTGCTGCTTCCCCTGGCTGCAGCAAAAAGGAGACAATACAGCAGCAAAACTAACTGTCTCTAAACAGGAGACACACTTAGCTGCAGCAGCAGCAAATGCAGCAGCAGCAGCAGCAGCAGCAGCGGCAAAGGCCGCAGCAGCAGCAACAGATGCGGCAGGAACAGGAGCGAGAGGAGGAGACACCGAGACAGCAAGAGCAGCAGCCAAAGCAGCAGCAGCAGCAGCAGCAGCCAAAGCAGCAGCAGCAGCAGCAGCAGCCAAAGCAGCAGCAGCAGCAGCAGCAGTCTCCTTTCTTACACAGAATCCAATAGAGGCGAATGTCTCTAAGACTAAAAGGATTTGATTAGGAGACAATAATATACCCTTTATTTTAACAAACACAAAAGTGTCTCCTTTTGTCTCCTTTTGTCTCCTTTTTTATTATATAATAAGTGTCTCCTTTTGTCCCCTTTTGTCTCCTTTTATAACATAATATGTGTCTCCTTTTGTCTCCTTTTATAATAAATAATAAAATAGGTGTCTCCTTCTATCTCCTCCTATTAATTTTCCCTTCTAAGAAAACCCATTTACCCTCCTGGGCCCCTGGGGGGCCCTCTTGGAGGGCCCCTGGGGGGCCCCCTAAAGGGGCCCCCTAAAGGGGCCCCTATACCTTACATTTTGGCTTATGCGTTTTGCTGTTTGTAAGAACAGCTCTGCCGCTAGAGCATTTATGTCTTCATAGGGGGGCCCCTGGGGGCCCCCGCTGTACCCTTTTTTTGTAGGGGAGAGGCTTTGTGGGCCCCCCTCATCAAGAAAAGACAATTGAATAGGGGATATGCCGCAATAAGTAATTGAGGAGACAGTTAGATGCATGCAGCAGCAGCGCAGCAGCAGCAGCAAAGCTGTAGATCCAAGGCAGCAGACAGACACACACGCACACACACACACACACACACACACACACACACACACACACACACACACAGAAGCACACACGTATGCATACTGCTGCTGCTGTTGCTGCTGCTGCTGCTGCTGCAGCGAGACCACCAGGATAGTATTCAAGTGTCTCCCCCTTAGAGCAGCTGCAGCAGCAAAGCAGCTGCAGCAGCAAAAACGCAAGCAGAGAAAAAGGAGACAACAGAAGCAGCAACAGAGAGACACAAGAGGAGACAGCAACAAGGAGACACCAAGGAGAGATAGAAGAGACAGGAGGCAGAAGAGAAAAAGAAAGGAGACAGGAGCAGCAGCAGCAGCAGCAGCAGCAACTGACTGTTTAATGGCAGCAAATGGACTGTCTCTGCTGCTTGCTGCAGTGCAGCAGCAGCAAGCAGCGGCAAATGTATCTCTAAGGAGGCAGCAGCATGCCATAGCTCAATAAGGGCCTTGTCTAGAGACACAGGAGCAGCAGCAGCAGCAGCAGCAGCAGCAGTGGGAGCAGCAGCAGCAGCAGGAGAGGCATTAAGGGTGTCAAGGAGACACTTTCGTGCTGCTGCCTTCCCCTCTGCTGAGGAGACACTTAAGAGGGCCCTAAGGGGGCCCCCTAAGGGCAGCAGCAGATCAAGAAGGAGACAGCTCGTGCTGCTGCTGCAGTTGCTGCTGCTGTTGCTGCTGCTACTCGTACACGACTCCTCTGCTGCTGCTGTTGCTGTTGCTGCTGCAGAAGGGGGCCTCTGCTGCAGCAGCAGCTGAGGGAGTTTAACATAAGGAAGCAGCATAATCTGTGGGTAATTAACAGCAGCAGCAGCAGCAAGAGGAGACAATTTATCTGCATGCAGCAGCAGCAGTAGCTCAATACTCTCTAACATACTAGATATACCTTGGGGGCCCCCAATGAGGGCCCCCTCCCTAATCTTAATAATGGGCCCCTCCTGGGGCCCATTGATTGCCCCGTCTCCTGCTGCTGCTGCACCTGCTGCTGCTGCTGCTGCTGCTGCTGTTGGCGGTGGTGCTGCTGCAGGGTGTATATAATCTGCATCCCTGCCCCTATTGGCATCCCTTGCGGGGCCCCTAGATGTAGGGTAGGAAAAAGAGGGTAC